TAAAAAGGAAGTAAAAATGCAAGGAGACCCTGTGCTCCGGACGAAGGAAGGGTCCCGGCCAAGTGAGACAAGGTTGGGGGGTCACCGACACGACCCCGCATCTTGGAGGCACCGTGGGGCCTCGTGGCCCCAATCCGCCGCGTGCTGTCCTGCCCGCACCAGCCTCCCGTCCTGGCGGAAGAACAGAGAGACCCTGGCCAGGGTGGCCCCAGGAGACCCGCGCCCACCGAGGCTCAGGGCCCCCCTCTCCCGGCACGCTGCTCCCAGAATCGGGGTCCACTCACACAGCACCGGGCCCTCCTGAATTGTTGCAGACCCCCAACCCCGGGGAGGCCACCCAGTGCTGGAGGCCAGGCCTGCCCCGTCTGGAGGTGCTGAAGCTTGTGAGCCTCTGTACCCCCTGGGGACCCCGGCGGGCGAGGCACAGGGGTCACGCTTTCTGTCCAGGCCCTGCAGCCCAGCCCGCGTCCCCCCCACAGAAACCCAGGAAGAGGGGCCGTGAAGGCACAGCTCACCACGGCGCCCGGCCGTTCGCGTGCCAACCAGGCCCCTCCGGGCCACGCCAGGTGCAGACTGACCCCGGGAGCAGGAGCCGGAGCGGGTGGGGTGTGGGAGGGGCCGGGACAGGGACTCCGGCAGTTTTCGATCGGACAAAGTGATCTTTCTGCGTGCGAAGTAGGTAAATCGGAACAAACAGAAGCTGCTGTTAACGGCGCTCTCCTTCTCTCTCACCGTCACCACGCCAGGGGAAAAGGGTCATGAATATTCAAATATTTGGTATTTCGTTTACTTAATTGCTCAAAGACGCGGCTCGGATTTTTCCCGAACAGCCCAGAAAGCACAGGGACCCCTCCCCACCCATGAAATATGTATACGTACCGATCACGAGTGCAGGATTTCACGGACGTCCCGACACATTTCATAGAGGGGCTCCTCTCTCCCCCCCCCAAACCCCACCACCACCCCCACCTTGCAAATTTAGAAACCTGCATTTGCACACGCCCTCCTACCCTGGTGATTGATTTACACACACGTCCGGGTTTCAGACGCGGGGCTCACAGATTTTCATCACGGTGGCCCCGTTAATGCAGCTCCTGAATGGAACTGAATGATCCGGGCCACCCGTATGCTATCCCACGGGCCGGATTCGCTCTCTCCTCCCCAGAGAGGGTGTTTTCCAGGGTCCACCCAGCAAGCGTCTTTTCCGCCTCTGCTCCCGGGTCATTGTCGTTTTCCTACTTCGTCTGACTTTGGCTACAAAAGCCCAGAATTCACGTTGTAGGGGAGGAAGTTCCAAGACAGACCTCAGGAAATGCTGTTTGCTTTTGATGGGATTTTCTTTTTCTTTCTTTCCCTCTTTTGCTTTTTTTTTTTTTTTTTAATGTCCTCGCCGTGTACTTTGTAACATATGGTGGGCATTAAAACTCTTTGCTTTCAGATTTAATCGCAGGACCCTTGCTCTCCGTTTTACTGAAGAAAAACATTATTTTTGCGGGGAGCAAAGCAGTCTCTCAGCACCGCGACGGACCTCTGAACAGGGCCGTTTTCTGGAAGCCAGGGCCGCACAAACAATGGGGCCAGGCTCTCTGCGATGAATACATTAAGCACCGGCTTAGGCGTGTACTTTGATTTTCGCTCTCCTTTGTGGCTCGGAGCCTCGGCGAGGGCACGCGCGAAGAGCCAGTCCTGTCCTCCTCGTCCCGGCATCCCCCACCCCACCCGACTGGCCACCGAGGGCTTTGAACTCAGCTCCCACCAAACTGGGCTGAACGTCTTCTGCCTTTTCCGTGCGGTTTCAATCTGCAGATGAAAAGAAAGAGATATGTGTCCTGCCCACAGCCCTGGAGAGAGACGTTGTCGTGGGTCGAGAGCGGCCCCTGGGCCGGGACCTTCGGCAGAAAGTTACACAAACCCGCGTGGCCTTGCGGGGGGGACGGTGGGCCCCAGGTGGCCCGGGGGCGCCCCCAGAGCGCACAGGGCTCCTGCACTGTGGCTCAGGCCCCCGGGCAGCGTCCCCGGACACGGGGGGGGACGTGACAAATCTATCTCTGTGGTCACCGTCAGCACACAAGGCCACGGCTCCGGGACCACGTCCACCTGCCGGGAGTGTGCAAGGGGTTCCACAAACCGCCCGTGTCCCCAGCTTCCGAGGGAGGCCAGCTCTACCCACTGGTGTGGGACCCGCACTCAGTCCCCACTCGGGGAGGCTGGTCCCCACTGGCCGCCGGCTTCCCGATGTCACGTCTGGAGAAAAGCGGTCCAGCACAGGACCCTGCACGTCTAGAAGGGAACCACTAATTAATTGGCCAATCTGCGACGGATACAAAGGCCCTGGGATTCTCCACCACCAGAGCCTACCCTGTGACGGAGCAACCCCACCCCCCTCCCCGAAAGCAGGCCCAAGTTCAAATGCCAACTTCACATTCCGGAAAGACAGCTGTCTGGGTGCATGAGCGTCCGGGCACCGGGGAACCCCCCAAGACTGCTTGGGGCCTAGCTTCCCATCCTGAAAACCCCTGCACGCCTGGCTCCTCTCAGCACCCTCCCTCCCTCCCTGGGCACACTAGGATTGAATCCTAAGGAGCCCCCCCCCCCCAGCTCACTGTCAGACCGCTGGCCTGGCATTCCTGGCCTCTGGAGGGGGGGGCACCACCCAAGGGTCAGCCTTTCCTCCCCCCATGAGTGTGCTTACCACGCAGGAGGGCCGCGCTGGGGAGGGGCCCCGTGCTGCCTCCTTCCTGGGCCTATGGGCCCCGCCCCGACTACCCAGGCATCAGGCTGGCTGCCCAGGGTTGTGTCTAGGGGCCCAGGAGTGTCCCCCCTGCCCTGCTGGAACTGGGGGGCTCGCTGGCCACTGCAGGGGCGGCGGAGGGCACAGGAGCCGCTGTCTCCAGGCCGGAGGGGGCGAAGGCAGGAAGGGAGGCGCAGGGCTGTAGGGGCTCGGGGGGGTCCGGGTACCGATAGAATAATTGGGGAGCGGAGGCGCCGGCCGGGCCTGAGCGCGGGGGAGGGGCCCCGGGGCGAAGGGGGAGGGACGCGGCCCGCTCCCGCCCGATGGCCTTTCCTCCCGCTGCTCAGCCTCCTGGCCTGAGGCGAAGCTTGGGGCTAGACCCGGCTGGACACCCGCCAGGAGCCCACCTCGGCGCTCAGCACCGCCCCCTGCCCGCCGGCCGCGCGTGGGGGAGGGGCGCGCAGGGCTGGGGGCAGGGCGCGCCGGCCACTGGCCTCTCCAAAGGCGCGGGTTGTGGGCGGAGGGGCGGCGCGGGGTGTGCAGCGGCGCAGCGGGAGGTGGGGGAGGGGAGCCGAGGGGGGGGCGGGCAGGGGTTGCGGGTGCCGAGAGGGGAGGGCGCGCAGGCCAGGGCTTCGGGGCAGAAGCCAGCTCGCCCTTTGCGCGCAGCAGGCCTGCGCGCGGTCGTGCTGTCCCACCGGCTGGGTGTGCGGCAGGGAGGGGACAGCGGTCCATAACCGGCCGAGGCAGGCCCATCCCGGCCTTGAAGACGCGGGGCGTGGGCGCGGGGCTGGGCCTCGCAGGACTTGGCGGGCACAGGACTCCTTTCATTCCTTCCTTCCCTCTCCCAGCTCTGTGTCGTTCCCCGGACCCCGCAGTGGACAAGCTTGCGAGCTGACAGTCGCCGGCCCGGGCGGCTGGCTGGTGCCCCCCCCACCCCCCCCAACCCCTCACCCCCCCCGCCCCCCCCCGCGCCGGCCGGTCCACCTCTGGCCTTGGTTCTGAGGGCGGCAGGAAGCAGGTTTCAGATTCTCGGGCGCAGGCTGCATCTGGGCCTACAAACGGCAGCCTCCCCCTCCAAGTCTGGAAGGTCGGTGGACCCCTCAGGAGATCTGCCTTTATGTGAGGACTAGTGCACTCACAGGGTTTCAGTGGCTTCAGGGCACAGCCTCCATGGTTGGGGTCACCAGGGGTCCCTCCTGTTGGTGTCGTTCTGGACTCGGTCCACCCCGCATTGGAGAGGGTTTTCCATACAGGTCAGGAGGGGGGCTTGGCTGGGGTGTCCCCAAGGCCATAAGTACGGCTGGTGGCAGATAGAACAGGACTCAGAGGACAGGACTGTCTCCTCCACGAGGAGGAACTCGAGGGTCCCCACGTCAGCCCCGGGCTCGCCCCTCAGCAGCAGGCCACGGGTGGGTGACGGAGGGGTCTCCAGGGAGAATTCGTTATGTTGGCAATCCTCCACCTCTCATTCTGCAACTGTGTTCCCGATAGGAGGTATGAGACCCCTCCGCTTCCGGCTGGGCTCTGGGTACCACCGTCACCTCCCCCAGAGTCAGGGAGACATCAGTCCTTCCCGAGGCCCGCTCCCCCCGCACGCTGCCTTCTGAGCTGCCCCCTTGAACAAGCCTTGGGAGAAAAGATCCCGGGTATGGATTCGTCATCTTGCCACCAAATACTTACTGAACACTGTGGTGGCTGGAGGGGTGCCCCCTTCCCCCCAGAGACGTCCACAGCCTCCTCCCTGGCCACCGGAATTATGTTTCCTTACGTGGAAAACGCACTTTGCAGATGTGATTAAATGAGAGTCCTTCAGAAGGACACAGATCCCAGATTATCCAGGTGGGTGGGTCCAATCTAATCACGTGGGGCCTTGAAAAGCAGAAGACTTTTGGGGAGCCTGGGTGGCTCCATCGATGAAGCGTCCCACTCTTGGTTTCGGCTCAGGTCACGATCTCACGGTTCAGGAGTCCGTGCTCCGCATTGGGCTCTGCGCTGACAGCACAGAGCCTGCCCGGGATTCTCTCTCTCTCCCTGTCTCTCTGCCCCTCCTCCACTCTGTCTCTCCAAATAAATAAACTGTAAAAAAATAAAAATAAAAAAGCAGACAACTTTCTCTGGCTGGAGTCAGAGAGAAATTCCACGTGTGAGACAGATCGCATCTGCCGTTGCTGGAGGGGACCTCCTGGAAAGGGTACCAAGGCACGTAGGTAGGTGAATTTCAAGAGCAGAAACCAGCCGTGCGAGGAAGAGAGGTCAGTCCTACAATCCCCAAAACCTGCCCTTGGCTCAAAAGCCTCAAAGGGCTTTGAAAGGAGAGCTTTCCTCAGAGCCCCTGATAAGAGCCCACCGAGGTCAGCTCCTTGAGTACGGCCTTGGAAGGCCCTGACCAGCGGACCCACGTTGTGCCTGGACTTCACTCCCTATTCTCACGGGGCTCACCACTGATGGGGACACACAAGACAACAAACAGAGACACGAATTTTAAAATCGGGTATCATTTCACGTGGAAAGAAGTACATCGAAAGTCTAGGAGTTAGAGAGTCTCCGGGTTGGGGGAGCTGTTTAACGAACAGGGTCAAGGGAGGTGATATTTTCAGAAGCCAAAAGCCGTAGGGGAAGGACATTCTAAGCATGGAAACCAGGACAGGAGGCTGATATCGATCAGTCCTGCCGACAAATCCCAGAATGGACACAGCGGACAGTCCTGGAGGACGGTGCACAAGCACGAGCTGCACAGGGTCTTAGAAGGGTGAGGGCTTTGGGCTTGCATGAGCGCAGGGGGCGGCCATTGAAGATTTGTGAGGGGACGGCTGGTGTGTGTTTCCATAGCTCCCCCCCAACCCTGGCTGCTGCGTGGACAGTAGACAGAAGGGGATCAAGGGTGGAGGCAGGAAGAAGCTGGTGACATCAGGTGAGGGTTGACAATGGCACCAACCAGTGGGGAGCAGGGGAGGTGGTGGGAATCAGGCAGGTTTGCAACATGCTTTGGAACTAGGACGAACAGGACTTGGTCGTGTACCGAAAGTGAGGCATAAAGGGAAGAGCCACATGGTGGGCTTTGGCCAGGACAAGCACATGGCACCCAACCAGAAGCGGTGTGCCATTTTCCAAAATGTTGGAAGGCACGGAAGCAACTTTCCGAGGTCCGCTGTTTCCCGTGTGAGGTTGTTTGTGCTGGGATACCCACTAGACCTCTGCGATGTTGCCTAGCCCATCGGGTTGGTGAGTCTGGGCTCGGGAAGGAAGTACAGGTAGAGGTATTCCGTTCATTTGGGAATCACCGGGAGAAGCCATTGGACTGGGTGAGATCCCCGGAGCATAGATGGGCCTGGAGACAGGGAGACACCCATCAACTGACCCTGAGCCCCTCTAGCAGTAGGCTGGGTAGACGGTCAAGATGCACCAAAGTGAAGAAACTAAGAGGGGCCGGTTTTTGGGGTGTTGGTAGGGGACCAAGAGAGGAAGGTTGTGCAGCCAAATATTTTACAAAGGAAGAAATTTCAAGTCAACGTTAGAAGGATAACAAGGGAGCGGCGCCTGGGTGGCTCAGTCGGTTAAGCGTCTGTTCTTGATTTCGCGTCATGTCATGGTGTGCCGAGCCCCAAGTCTGGCTCCGTGCCAACAGCACAGAGCTTTCTTGGTATTATCTCTCTCCCCGCCCCCCCCCCCCCGTCTATCCCTCCCCTGCACTCACATATGCAGGCATGCTCTCTCTCTCTCTAAATACATAGTAAAGGAAAAAGGACACTGAGGGAATATTGCTAAACATTGCTAAAGCTAACACGAGAAAAAATAGAAGACACCAGTAGTCTTATCTATGTAATATGAAATTGCAGTTGTAATGAACAGCCTGACCTCGAGGAAAGAGATCTCTGGACTCAGATTGCCCAGTGAATTCTACCAGGGAGGAGAAATGATGACTCCTTCACAAATCCTTTCAGCACGGAAAGGGATAGGGGGGCGGTCAGTTCGTAACTCATTCTACACGTCTTGTATTCCTCTGATGACAAAGCCAGACAAAAAAATATGACAAGGAAGGAAAATTATACACCAATATCTCCCAGGAACACAGACACGGAAATTCTTTTTTTTTTTAAGTTTCTTGACAAATTTATGATATATTTTTGAGAAAGACAAAGTGCGAGCAGAGGAGGGGCAGAGACAGAGATGGAATCACAAGCAGGGTCCGTGCTCTCAGCGTAGAGCCCCACCTGGGGCTGGAACTCACGAACTATGAGACTATGACCTGAACCGGAATCAAGAGTCAGACGCTTAACCGACGGAGCCCCCCAGGCGCCCCAAGACACAGAAGTTCTTAACAGACTGTTAGCAAACTGAATCCAAAGGTATGCATATTAAAACAATAACACACTGTGGCCAAGAGGGCTCACTCCCAGGAATTCAAGGTTGAACTGACATTTCAAAGTCAGCCAATGCAATCCACACGGCTTATAACCTGAGATGCTGGTGAGTCACAGACAATCAAAGGTTATGTCTTCACGGATATGGGACAATTAAGGGATCCCCTGAATCCAAACCTTCTGACGGGCTGAGGGTTCCTTCCTTCCATGAACTCTGGACAAGTTTGTGCAAGAATGTGCACAAGGGTAGGACACGTGGGCTTTGGCTCCAAACCTTTCCAACTCGATATCCGTTCCGTAGCCAACCTTTGGCCATATGACCTTTCCCCGCGTCCCAAACAGCAGCAGACCATCTTGCAAATCCTCGTCTGACACCTGCTACAAGCTTATCCACCCCAAAGGCATGCGGGAGGCCCCTTGGCTCCTCCTCTCTGCTTGCAAATTAAAAACCAAGCATTGCAAGAGGAAAACCGTGCTGATGATTGCAGACATTTTAGGAATGATTCTCCCCCTCCTTTGGAGAGGGGAAGACTGCCCTGAAGCCAGAGGTGACCTTGCCAGGGCCATGTCTTCAGGGAAGCTGGAGGTGAACACACATCCCCATCTACAGACACGGCAGGAGTCCGAGATCCTGGTGGGGCTTTGTGAGTCAGTGGCACGTCAGTTTACGACAGGAAGAAACGTACGCGGTATTGAGGGGTCTGCGTAAGAGAGAGAAGAGGCAGGCGGCAGCAATGACGAGATCCCTCCCTGGGAATGTTTTAAGTGAGTCTCCAAAAAGCATACTTTGGGAATCCCCACTCTCGATTTACAAAGAGATTCTTAGCATTGGTCTCTCCTGTTGTGTCCACACAA